TCACTATGAGTCCCAAGCGACTCAATGGCATATAACAACAACAATATTCTGTAAAGTTATAAAGAACCATGTGCATGTAGTGTGCTGATTAACTGACAAATCTCTAAAACATCCTAGCTAACAGAGCATTACAATATTGCCCACATCAGGGCTAGGCAGTTATTAAGATGAGAACTGGGTTAGCAATAGATTAAAAGAAGAAAATCAATCTTCTTAGCCTGGCTCTTTCACTAATTTACCAATGGATTTAGGTCAAAATACTTCTCAAGTGTTAATATCATCATTTAGAAAATGAGGATAAAAATAATATTGTGTTTTAAGGCTGACAAGTCTTTAATGAGCCAAGGCTTGAGGAAAGCACTATAGAATGACAATATTTTTAATATTTACTTCTATTTTTCAGGATAACTTCCTCTTTTCTTTTAGCACTGAATTTATTTCCTTCCAGTTCACATGAACTAAGTAGACAGTCAATATGCAAACTACTACATTTATAATTTTTTTGCATTTTTATAAGATGAAAGAAAAAGTAAAACACTTCCACCTTCCTTTAATAACTTAAAAAATGGCTTTAAAGTATTTAGGCTAAAGTGATCTATCTCTTCTTTCAGAAATAATTAGATATTAATACATACGGTTTAAAATAATTCAACTGTCAAGAATATATGATGGTGTGAAGAAAATTTCCATTTTATAAAATTCACCAATGGCATTGCATTAATATTTTGTAAAATCTTATCAGTATTTACTGACAATGAAAAATTACAAAAATGTTGCTCTTATAATTAAAATGTATATTTTTCTGCTTATAACAATTGATCATAATATTTTCTTCATGCCTTTATGGAGAAAAAAATTTATTAATATTTGTTGATTTGTTTTGAAAAGGAAATAAAGAATTTGCAATATAGTATTTTTACCTATTTTCCATCTGGTTTCAGTTTTTTACTAGTTACAATTAGAGGGTAGAACTTGAAATGTAAGATTGTGTATCATTAGAATAATAGTGAAAAGCAAAACAAAAAAGCGCCTTTTTTCTTAGATTTCTCTTGGAATCTTTTTTTCCAAGATTTGTGTGTTTAAATTTCTCAAATGATACATGATGAAAAATTTTCTTGTATTGAATATTCTCTAAAAGTTTCCATATTTCAAGTGTGTGACAGTATTTATATCAAACAGAAGACACAGGACTTAAAGTGTAACTGTGAAGTTTAAAATTCAATGACATTTTGCACTGCGAAATCTGCTCACTGCACAATGTTGGGTGGGGATGTGCTACTCATATAATCAACTCTGTGAGTAGCATCTTTTTGATTTATGAATTTTACAGACTATATTTATATTAAACATTCCTATTAATAAAAGTTACGCTTACATTTTGAGATATTCATGATTAATAATGAAATATTATAAAAGGAAATAACTTCCCACACGTAATAATGTGTGCTCATTAATCAAAGAC